TTGCTAATGCCATGAACACACTCAAGCATTCTTCCTCCCACTTTCCTCAGGCCAGTCTGGGCTGATCACAGACAATGTTGAGAACCGTTCTAGTTTCCACAGGCCTCTGAGGAGCTTTAGGATGAGAACATCTTCTGACTCGAGACAAAGTTGTACCAGCTCAGAAGCCTTGGAACACACTACGTCTCTTGCTTCCCACAGTTTGAAAATGTGTGGCATAGAGAAATAGTATTGTGAATATTTCACATTCATTCATTCATCTCTCCCTCCCTCCTTTTCCTCTTTCTGTTTCTTTTCTTACTCTTTCTTCTTTCTTTTTTCTTTTCTTTCTTTCCTTTCTCTTTCTTTCCTTTCTTCCTTCTTTCTTTTCTATCTTTCTTTCTTTCTTTCTTTCTTTTCCTTTCTCCTTCTTGTGTGTGTGCACTGTGTGTGTGCCGTGTATGTGCGTGTGTTTGTGAATATGTGTGCATACCTAGGTGTGTGTGTAGAGGGAAGACAGCAGTTCACAGGACTGAGGTCTCTCTTTTCACCATGCACATCCTAGGGATCTAACTGGGTTGTCAGGCATGGGAGCAAACCTTTACCTGCTGAGCTATCACACAGATGTGTCACTTAGATGAGTGAAAGAAGATAAAACAGTGACACAGGTTATCTAACTGAGAGACCATCCGCAGGCAGCACGCTGCCAGAACAACGCCAGCTTAAGGACTTCAGCTGCCCTATGGTGGTGAGCACAGATAATTATTTAGACTGCCGTGCATACATAGTTCCTTAAAATGAAGCGAGGGGCCTGGGAGTGAAGCCCAGCGCTGCAGCCCGTGCACAGCATGTGGAAGGCCGTGGCTTAGCTCACTGTCAGACACATGCAGTAAAATCCGAGCCACGAAAACTTCCCAAAGGACTTACTCCACAGGCCTGCAAAGGCGGCTGTCGGCTTCGGCGCCCTTCACAGAGGACTGCAGGACAGACAGCCCAGGTGCCTGCTCTAGCCAGGGGCCGATACTTTCAGGATAAGCCCTGTGAGTGAGGACATGAGTAGACAAATACTGAGAAGAATGTTTACAGAGAGAAATGTGCCAAGCACAGGTAGAAAGAGCCTGTGCGGGACTGTGACATCTGCCCAGAGAGACTCAGGTTGTCCACCACTCCTCGGGACTGTCTGGACTTTCTAAGGCCCTGCAGTTTGGTTATGTTTTTGCTTTTGTTTGGTTGGCTTTTGTTTTGCTTTGCAGAGGCTTGTCATATGTCTATCGATAGAAAGTATTCTTGTTGAGCATATTCATTAGAGTATATTTGGCCACCAACCTTAAAAAGTCACTTTCTGTACATTTAGCTAATAGATATATAGCAAAGAGCTGGGTGTCATTAATGATAACTCAAAGTTATCTTTTGGTCCATAGTTTTCCATGGTTTATTAATGGCCTAACACATTAATTTTTCTTTCAGCCTGACCTTTACAACACCATTAATCCTCCCGGCTTTTATCCAGCTACATTATTTCTCATTATAGTTTCAGCTTTCAACATCTACATTTGTTGAAAAGAGAAAAGTAAATTGTAGTGGCCTCAAACCCTTGGAAAATATGAGGGCTGTAGATATGGTGAAAGGACTTTACAGGGTGGGGGAAGGAGATGTTTTATTACAGTAATAGAGAAAGCCATATGATAAGTATCACTAAATACATTCTTGCCTTTGTAAAATGCTTGGCTATACTTAGTCTTTGGGAGTGCTGAAGTAAGACTGTTTATACACATACATATATGATATATATGTATATGTACAATTATATATGTATATATACAATATATATGTATATATACATAATCATTCTATTAGAAGCAGGGTTTGAGTAATATTTTAAAAGTCGGCCATATGTCAACACTGTAATATTTATGAACTCCATTTGTTTAAGGAAGTGAATCCTTTTTGCCAAATCAAATATTCTCTTCCACAATCAGTACACAGAAACAAACCTAGTCTCATGTCCTTTAGGACATGGAGCAGAGTAAGTTAGTGTTAGGCCACAATGGTGCAAGGCAAAGGCAGATTCCAAACTTCAGTTTGCTCTGCTTCTCCCCTGACTGCTGGGCTGGCCCTGCCTGGTGCTGAATCAGTACTAACAAATCATCTTGGGTTCTGCTTTGTAGAAATGAAAGCATTTGCAAATGCCTTTTGCTTTGTCTAGTATTCAGTTTCTCTGAATCTGGACCAATTTTCTATTTCCTTCTGTCTCAGACCAAAGACCCAGCTTCTATCTATCTATTTTTTCTATCTATCCATCCATCCATCCATCCATCCATCCATCCATCCATCCATCCATCCATCTAAATAACTCTATTTCTCTGTCTCTCATCTATCTATTTCTCTCTCTCTCTATCACCTATCTATTCTGATTTTAAAACCTATGTCTACCCAGGTCCCCCAGATACTTCTCAGCACCACATGAATCCACACCGCTGACTGAGCTGTACCATTCACTGGGTTATCCCATTCTGTTGTAACTGGGAGTCTGACAAAGCCATCTGCTTGGTTTTCAGAGTCTGCCTGTCTTTGGACTCAGGTTAAAGCTTATGGCTCCCTTTGCACTCTGTTCTTCTGCTCTTCTGCAGAACGTGCCACCATCAAATGACTCCTCCTATATGAAACTTTTTCCAGGGCCGACCTCATATTTTCCTATTGTTGTATTTGTCTATGAAGCAATTGTGTTCAATTATATGCATAGGGTTTCTGTGCCATGTAAGTTCTTTTATGAATTCTAGGGTCTGGGAGTAATGGCAGCCCTTCCCAAACTGGTCACATACATTTCCAGTGTTAGGTTTTTCATGTTTTTTACCTGGAGCTCTGCTGACTGACTGAAGGCTTTCCTATAGTGCTTACATAATAGGCTTTCTTTTCAGTGTGATTTCCTTGTGTTTCTAATAGTTACTGTGTTGGCTGAAGACTTCCTCACACTACATACACATGCAGACACACATACATATAACTTATTCTCCCTTAGTTTTAGAGAGTCTTTTTAGACAGTTTTCTACCTACAGAAACGTGTGGTAGACTTAAAATATGTTCGAATAATCTGAAACTTTTCCCTTCTAAAGTTGGAGGGTAATTCCCTTCTTGTGGAGTTGGGTTTCACTAGCAGCACAGACTCCGTGGGAATTTGGTGTGCAGGCCACAACCACCATGAATTTCTCTGTTCTCCTTCTGGGCATCACTGGCTGAGAAGTTCTCCTGCCATGTGATGAGTAGCTGCAGAGAGGGTTTGTGTGCTCAAGAACTGAGGCCTTCAGCTTGCAGCTGGGCAAGAGAGTGGTCACCTCCACTGACGTCTGCAGTGACATCCGCAAGGGCCTGCTGTCTGACCAGCATCTTCACCATAATCATGGGAAACATCTTAAGGCAGCAATAACTGGCTGCGTTTCCCCTTCAAAACAGAGGGCATATACAGGAAAGAACAAGGTTTGGGGTGATTTGTATACTACAGTTAGCTAATGCGGTTGGGGACCTCCATGCTTCTTTACTTCTAACAGACACACTGGTTTCTGGCAAAAGTCTCTGGTAGAGGAAAAATCTCTCCGACATCCTACCTCTGCCATTACATAGCAAACAAGTTCATAGTTTTCTCCTGAGCACACATAACTAATGGCTCCCTTGCTCTTGAAATTCAACACAGACTAAACTTCTAATTTATGCCTCCCTGTTCTTTCCTGATTTCTTCTTGTTCATAGAGAGCTGAGACACCCAGGCTCCTGTCTCCATGCTGGTGCAGATAACTCTGTCAGATCTCCTTTGCTTATCTCTACCTCATGGAATAGCTCTCACCATGTACCACAACAGTGCTTCCGCTGAATGATATTGTCCAATTGCCAATGCTCTCAAGTTCTGATCACATTGTTCTGTGAAGAAACAGAATGATCCACCTCCCCTCTTCCTCATGTTTCCATCTTAGCTTCCACCACTTTCTGCCACATGTCAGTCAACTTCCTGGTCAAATCCCTGCATTTCTCAGCCACATGTTTCAATGGGTTTTCCCTCTTGTCTTATGGCCTAAAATGCCTATGAATATATTGGTTTTTCAAAGTTTAGTCTGAGACTGCTATTTATAACATAGTCCACCTTGATTCTTCCCAGCAGAACATAGTGCTCTCCTCTTTGACTATAGGATTACAGCTGTGCTCTGCAGTAGCCTTCAGTGTTCATGAGCTATATTTTAGCACCTCCCAAAGTAGTCCTGTTAAATACATGGGAGCTAATCTGTGCTCAAGGCTTCCCAGTCAGACAAAAGCAATAAACCTATCAATGAGTGTGTGCTGAAATTGTTTATGTTTTAATTCATGCATGAAAAAATAAAAATAACAGTATCCATTAACTCATCAGAAACTACAGTAACAGAAAACCCAAAGGTACCTCTCTTCACTGCTGGTTGTGTTCAACTGGAATGTTCAGTCAGACCAGGACACACTTCATATTTCATGATGGACAGTTGACCCAAACAGAATGTATTCCTCATTATATATTTGTAGACATCACAACAATTAAAAAAAAATCTCAGTGATAGAAAAGGCAAGTCACTTAGGAGAAAATTCTGGAACCATTTTTATCTACAATTAGCCATTCATGTCTCTTTAAAAAATTAATTAACAGGCAACGTTTCACACATAACTGTAACTAGTACTTTAAGATTGTCAGGGGCAGTAGAAATTTGGCTAAGTTAGAAATGTCTCTTGCTCTTTGGTTGGAAGGAGGATGGAAGGAGGGGGTGGGAGGGTCGGATTGGGAGGGGAGGAGAGAGGGGATTGCAATCAGGCTGTAAATTGATTAAATAAATTAATCAGAAATATTTAAAAAAGAAATATCACTTGCATGTTTAAAACAGATCTTACGATAGTAACTCAAATTATATCTCCGTCATTAGCTCAGGGCCCACATGTGACAGGCCATCTGAGATTATATCATTCAATTGCCATACTTGGAAAAGCAACAAGAACAAGAGAAACATAACTTACCTATTGTGCTAACTCTTGCTGAAGGACTAGCTAATGCTGCTGGGACAGAGGCTTTGAGGGAGCCCGCCCCGCTGTTTATTCTCAGAGCTGGCATGTGGGGTGAGGTGGGTGATGTGGGTGATTTGCCATCAGAGGTCTTGGGTTTAGCTGATAGGTTCAGTGGCTGCGCCACTTCATCCTGCAAGGATCATTAGAACATGAGCTGTGACGAGGAAAGGCTGAGCAGAAACATCTAGAAAAACACAGGTGCACAGCCTGTCATTTCTCATCAGTGATCTCAACACTCACTCTCAACTTACAGTGCCTGGTGAGCTGCTGACACGATGTCACTTTCACTGCATGCTCCAGAGCCCTGGCTGTATAACGCAGAGCAGAGCGCACAGTGCTCCACCGGCTGCAGAGCGCAGTCACGGGACAGACCTGGCCAACGTGCTCTCACCAAACTGGTCTCTGCTATGCTCTTTCATTAAGATACATTTTACCCAGTTTGTATAAAATCACAATGCTGGTCAGCTATTTCTGTTTGTTTTGTATCTTTGGAGAGTCAAATTTCAAGGCTCTTTATCCACACATAGAGGCAGCACCTGGCCATCTATGGGTGTGTGGCTCTAATCAGAATTTCTCTCCCAATGGAATAATAATAAAAAAAAAAACAAAACAAAAAACTAAGAAAATAACCATTTCCCCTATGTTACACAAAAGCAATTTTAGATTTTTATCTACAAATTAAAATAAGCATGATTAACATTACAATAATGTGTATTACTAAATAAACATTACAATGTTTATAACAAAATCCAGAGAATGCTCAAAATATTCCTTGGAAAAATCACATGGCACAAACATCTGTACGAGACCAGTTTACAGTTAGTGACTTTAATTATTCTATGCTTGAAAAGTATGGCTTGATTTTATACCCTTCTCTCTTAGCACCCAGGTTATCAATTGCATAACGTTTATGGATACAATACTGATGAGTTTCTATTGCATCAGGAGACTCAGACACAGCAACACTGCATAGCTTGCTCATCACTGCAAACTATTTTATTCCTCTGCTATGTCCTAAAACTGGAACATTCTGACAATTGTTTATATCAGATTCACTAGTACTAAAATTTTATTGTAGAATAAAGATTTACTTCTAAATATTTTTTCTTGAGTCAAGAGCATGTATGATATATTTTGATATCAGGAACTTTGTTTTAAAGTGAAATTATCTTTAATCAAATAAGGCAAATAGCAGGGAAGCTTAAGCTAATCTCTGTAAAAATTTAACTCTTCACTATAAAGATACATATATACACAAGCTTACATATATGTTTATATATGAGGAACCATTTCCCACTACAGTTAGTCATTTATATAGTTAGAAAATAAAGCAAAAGGTAAAAGCTTCACATATAAATGTAACTAGAATTTTTAGAATCAGGAAACCTGTGAACAGACTAGGGAGAGGAATTCTTAGAACCTCTTTCTTAAGCTATGAGTTGTGTTACAAGGAAAAACACATTTTAAAGCCAATGAGGTAATTTAAATTGGCTATCTGGTATCACTAGAGATATATAGCAAGTTAATAGCCATTATGTAAAATTTTATCCATTAACAGACTAATTGATATGTAGTAAAACAAGATAGTTCCCTTACTGATGAGGATGTATGACTTGGAGAGATTTAGTTTTACACTTGAAAGGTATAGAAGCCAAAATATTGCTGTCCTACTCAATGTGAAACACTCAGTCGAGCTTGTCAGACAGAACTTAGAGAATTCCTTAGCTGGCAGAAACCCAAGGTAACGTGTGTCCATTCCATGGGTACATCGTTCTGAAAGATCTGCTCATACACAACACTGCCCGTAGAGCCTGAGGACTGGTTCCAGGGCCAGCTGTTGCGGATGCTCAGAGGTGGGGCCTCGCAACCGGGGTCTAAGTGAGTATTTTCCAGTGATTCTAATGTACTATAAAGGTTGGAAGCTATTGGCTTGTAAAAGAGGGAATTTTTTTAAAAGTTGTACTAGGTTTCAGAAAGTTTCTTCAATGAAAGGGTACACAATTTAAAATATATAACATGACTACAGTCTTCCAAATTTGGTTGGGATATATATTAATACAATTAGAAACAGTGGTATAAGAACTCAGTGCCACAGAGCCTGGCCAGGTGCAGGGGGCAGGGTGGGATGTTCTGGGATAGGAATGGGTGCTTCTCCATCAGGTACTCCTAGTCTCCTGACAGCCTGGTAGATTGGCAATGCTACTCTCTGTGAGCTGTGTAGCTGTGAACATCCCAATGTGTTACTCTCCCTGCTACATGGTACATGTGTATCTACCTTCTGTGTGAAACCTGGGCCTTCAATGACAGCCCCAGAGCTCCTTGGGATGGATGAACAACTATTGCAAAACACTGCTGGGAAGGCTTTGGGGCAGTCATTGCTGCCCTTGACCATGTAGAAGAAAGGACGGGAGGATAGTGCAGAATGTACTCCCAGAGTTGGAGTTCGAGTCTGGGGTAGGCAGTGTGTGTGCGGACCAGGAGGAGGGGTGACAGTGCTGGTGAAAGGTCACACGCCTGAGCTTTAACACTAACGGCTATTACAGGTGCTTGCTGACCGGTGACTCAGCTGCCAGAACCGTCAGGAGCCCCTTCGAGGCAGCACACATGCCTGAAAGGGAGAGCCTGCAGGCCCCCAAGGACATATGACAGGTCGACAGTTGTGATTTGATAGAATGTCATTCAAATCTGCCCTTTCAGACTCGCTTCCGCCGTGAGACAGGCTCGTGGTACCCTGAATAAGAACACAAATGCATGAGCCTAATGCTGGAAGCTGCATAAATAGTTTTGGTCTGTTATAGTACCTCTCACAGTCTGGTCCATTTTAATAATTTACTGCTGCTGCGATCATAAAGCAAGCAGTTTTATTTGTGAAGAACGGGGAACTTGCAGAACACTTTTAATTGACTAAGTGAAATTCCTACAGCTCTTAGCTGTAAGATGGGCTTGACCTGTTTGCCTATCGTGTGCACACTCAGAGCTATGGATATGGGAATAAACATGGAAGGCACAACATTTTCTACCCTGTGTTTTACTTGCAGTATTTTAGAAAACAAAACAAAACAAAAAACCCAATTGAACAGCCTAGCATGGCCAACCTCTATTCTTACCAGTAAAACATACATTAAGATATAAATAAATAATTCACATGTAAAAGACTCTAAGTAACTTCGGAGGTCAAGAAACCATTTTTACTCAAGCCACCATCAAGCAGAGAAGAAAGCAATTTCTTTTGTGTTACTCCACCAATTGGTGAATGAGGTTGTTACAATGAAACTTACAAACATTGTTACTTTGTAATTATTTCTTTTATACATAAAAGGAAAGTCCCCAGGACTTTATTTACTTTTTGAATAGCTCCAAATGATAAATGGTTCATGAACATCTAAACATAAACGGACATGTAAGCTGAGGTAAACATATTTCAACTCGTGAAAGACAGTTATTTACATTTGCAGATCTCATTATAGATACTGCACACCACTTGTTTAATCTTCAATACCATGATGATTTTTATTTGTTTGCTGTCCTGATCCTCTTGCCTCTGCTTCTCAGGCATTGGGGTCACAGATGTGTGTCACCATGCTCTGTCCATCACCTTTGATACTATGATGTAGCCAATAATTTATTGGATGAAGCTCCGATGGTTCTAGTGAAACCTAGGTTTGGGGTTTCAACATGTCATGCTTTTATAAGTGACATGATCACTTCTATCTTAAAGTTTAAGAAGCAGCCTGAACATATCCTCTGAAACTGTGACCTCACTGTGACATATAATTATAATTCTGATATAGATTACTTGATGAGGAGAAGTAAGGTTTCTTTCCTAGTATCATTAATTTCAACTTGACATAGTCCAGATTTACCTGGAAATGGAGTTTTATTATTATTACTATTATTATTATTATTATTATTATTATTATTATTATCTCATATATTACATTTGACTGTGTTTTCCCCTCTTTCTTCTCTTCTCAATTTCTCCCCTCTACTCCCCACTCCTCCAGATCTGCTTCTCTGTTTCCCTTCCAAAAAGGGCCTCCAAGGGATGTCAACCAAACACAAGTTACAATAAGACTAGGCACATCCTCTCATATCAAGGCTGGATGAGGCAACCCAGAAGGAGGAAAAGGGTCCTAAAAGGAGGCAAAATAGTCAGTGAAAGTTTCTGCTCCCACTGTTAGGAGTCCCACAAGAACGTCAAGCTGTTCAACCAAAAAATATATGCAAAGGGCTTCAGTCAGATCCATACCCAGTCCTTGATGGTTGCTACAGGCTCCCTGACTGTTGCTTCAGTTTCTGTGTGCCCCTGTGAGAATTGTTCTTATGGTGACCTTGACCTCCATCTGGCCCCTACAGTATTCTGTCTTGATTGAGTACTGTCCTTTGAAAGATTGGCCCATGGGCATGTCTATGGGGGAAGTGTCTCAATTGTTAATTGATATAGGAAGCTTTAGCCCACTGGAGGTGGCGCCATTCCCTAGGCAGGTGGTGGTCCTGGACTGTATAGAACAGCTGCTGGCAAAGCATGAGCCTGTAAGCAAGCCAGCAAGAATCATTGCTCCATGGTTGCTTCAAGTTCACACTTGAGTTCCTGCCTGATTTTCTTCAGTGACAGACTACCCTGGAAGTATAAACCAAACAAACCCTCTATTCCCCTAAGCTGATTTTGGTCAGAGTATTCTTAATCTCAGCAAGCCTAAACCTCCTACATGGCACGAGAAAACAAGAATTTGAGTTTCCAGAGAAAGTTTTAGGACTCTATTGCTGAATATAAATTTTAATAAGCTACTGGTTCATCTTTGTTACCTGAGAATAAGAAATAAGTAAAATCAAAGCAAACATTCACTCCAGCCACACTCCATTCTTTAGCAGCTACTATGACTCATCTGAAAGTTAAAGTCTGACTTAGCAGCCATGGTCTCCGTACAAGACACATGGAGGACTTGATTAATCATATCCTAGTCAGACAATCCAACAGATAGATAAAGAGATGAACTGGATGAAGCAAAGAATTCAGACTAACTTATAGCAGTAGGTAGATGCAGGAAATCCTATCATCAGGAACCCCAGACCATTTTATACAAACACTGCAAGACAACTAAAATTAAAATATATTTCAGCTTACCACTT